AAAGCTGAACTGTTTTTAAAGGTAAGTTACTTTCCATTGTACTGAGGACCACCTACAATTTTGGTTTTAGAAACTTGAAGTATGAAATAGAAATGTTGAATAAATTTAAAAGGCTAACACAGGATATATTGATCTAGTCCTACAGAACAGTTTCTTTAATTCTGTTTCATTATAGTATTTGTTTTTTTATGAGTTATTTTGAATGTTATCTATTAACTTGGGAAAATACAGTTCTGAATTGAACTGCATTAGGATTAGGATTTCATAATTTTTTTATGTAGGAAAAAAATAAAGCAGATTTGTTCATTAATATCTAGACTGTAAGCTCTATGAAAACAAGATTGTGTCTTTTTTTGTTCACCATTATGTTCTCAGTACCTAGAATCATGCTTGGCACATAATGGGTGCTCAATAAATAATTGTTGAATAAATGAATTGAAATTTAAGTTTAATATTAAATATTTACAGAGTGACACCTACTGGTATAATATGAGACTGCTACCTGGTACCATTGTATGAGGTGACTGCTCATCAAGTGTTTACCCAGAGGGATGCTGTATGTTGATCTAGTTTTCAAAGAGAAGTAAATGACTTTCTGTTTTTGAATTGGGATTATAAACTCCCTCATTAACGTAGGTATGCAAAAATCGTATATGAAGAACAGCTAGAAAACAAGGAGATACTTAACTTGATTAAAAAAAAGCCATGTGTGGTCCTTAAATAGTTGAGGGCTGTCCTGAATAGGGGAATTGTATAATGTTTTTTTCAAATCTTGAGGGTAAAAAGGGCTATTAATTGTATCAGAACAACAAGTGAAACTGAAATTATCTCAGATAAACCAGGATGTCTGGCTTCTCTGTGAAAAAGGTAGTTGGGGAGAGACTTGCATGTTAATATCATCGTAGGATATAACTAGAACCACATTAGTACAAATTCAAGAGAAACAATTTTTTGCTCATGATAAGAAATAATTTTTGAGAATTAGCATATTGACCAAAGACGTACTGGATTCCTTTAGATCTGATGAGTTTCCTGTCATTTGAGATATTCAAGTGAAGGCTGAAAGATTAATCATTGGGATGCTGTAGAGTGAACTGGGTGGAATTTTATTAGATAACTTTTAAATATTTCTTTGATCTCACAGGTTTATTTACACAGTCTTTGTGTAGCAGTAGGAGGGGAGAGTAGAAGTTAGTGGAAAAATTATGGGATGAGGAAGATGGATTACTATTATTTTCATATAAGTTTTACAGACATGGATGCAATTCTTGTATGTGTGTGGTACGAAAATATGGGATGCGCTTATATTTGCATGTGTATAAATATTGCTTATATATGCTAATTTGTAATTGTGTTAGAAGTCTAGATTGGTAGTTTGACTGGTAGTAGAATGCCCAGTGCTAAGAGAGTTTCCGAGAAATGTCACTGTTGTATAACTTATCTATAAAAAGTATAAAGGAGCCCATAGTTTAGTATACTGTAATGTACCAATGTTAATTTCCTGGTTTTGATATCGAATTAGAACAATATAAGGTGTCACCATTGGGGGAAGCTGGGTGAAGGGTACATGAGACTTTTTGTACTGTTTTTGCAGCCTCCTGTGAGTTAAAAAAAAAGAAAAGGGTAAGGGGAATACTGACGATTTGAAGCCCAGGGTAATAATACTAAGATTTGATTTCCTCAGGGCCAGTTAACTATTCTAGTTTGTGTGTAGCCTGAGTCATTCTGTGTGTACATGCCTGTATGGTATTCACAAGGAAAATCAGTGAAGATCATGTATCTGGATTGCCCAAATTTATTGTCACTGTGAGAAACAACTTAAATATGATGCTTTGCAAGTCATTGTGATAAGAGATACCACACACTTTGTAAGTCTGTGACTATTTACTAGGTCAGATGCCTTGGCATTTTGTAATCAAGATAGCTTCCCAACTTTATCTGATGCCTGCCAGGCAGAATTCTTAAGTTGACTTGCCATTGGAAAAATGTAGGCATTTCTATTTTATAGTTAAAATATGACTGAGAAAATATGGAGAAATTGCTCAAATTGAGTAG